TTATGTTTTGTAATTTTCTCGTGAACAATCTTTCTAAATTTTTTTTTTTTTATCAATTTTAATATTTAATAAGTTTTCTTAATTAGTTTTCGTTAAACAAATGTTTCTTTTAATTAACACTTTTAGAACTGTTTTTAATTTTTTAGGCATTGTTTGTTGACAAATGAAAAACTGGAGCCTGGAGAAAAATGTAAAAAAAAAAAAAAAACTTTTCTGTTTTTTGTTTCGTTTATTAATTAATGTTACGTTATGACATCAAAAAGTTGTCTTATTTTTTTTTTTTTTTTAATTGTCTTATTTATTTATAGTCATCAGCAAGGCCGACGACACCGGGGAGGTCAGATGCCACGTTCCCCCATCCCCCACTTTTTTTCTAAAAGACCTTTTTTTTAAGAAAAATCTTGATAGAGTTGACTTTTTTCACTAACTGATGATTGTGCCCTCCCTCCCCCCTTCAAAACCCGTGTCGTCGGCCCTGATCAGTATATAATATATATATATATATATATATATATATATATATATATATATATATATATATATATATATATATATATATATATATATATATATATATATATATACATACATATATATATATATATATATATATATATATATATATATATATATATATATATATATATATATATATATAATATTATGATATATATATATATATATATATATATATATATATATATATATAATATTATGATATATATATATATATATATAACATATGATATATATCAGTGCCGACGACACCGGTTTCGAAGTGGGAGCGGGGCACCATCGTCAATTTTTTTTTAAAAGTCTTGTACATAGAGAATTTTCTTAAAAAAGCAAAAAAATCCTTTAGAAAAAAAATAGGGGGGTCACGTACTCCCCCCTCCCTCTGTTGACGTTGGCTCTGTATATATATTTAGAACATGATGAGCCTAAGAACAAAATCATATGGCGCATAATATAAATATTGTGAAAAATCATCAGGCTTTTTTTTTTTTAATTAGCAAAAGTGCTGAGTACTGTTAAATTTGAAAAACTAAACTAGTATTTACATCTCGTATTTTAAAATGCCAACCGTTTTTTAAATATTATTAACGCAATTTTTATACGCATTAATTTACTTTTTGCGCTTAAAAAAAAAACATCGGTTTTAGTTGTTCATAATAGATGTTGTCCTTTAGGCGTAACCTTTTAAGGAATATTTTTTTGCGTCGTTAAATTTATATTATGTAATTTGAGTAGTTAGTAGTTTTTTAAATTCTATAAAATTGGAGGAAGAAATCGCATAAGTCATGTTGTTCCGGTGAAATAACCGTTAGAACTTTTAGGAGCACTTTAATAGGCACACAAAAACAGAAGGGAAAAAAAAAGGAATTTTCTATATTAAAAATAGGTGCCATAAAATTTACATACATCAACTAATATGTTGGGTTCGGCAAAATATATATTGTTGGTTCCTGTTTTTGTATTTTTTTTTCTTTGTATAACCATCTTTTTCAATAATATTCCAAAATTAATGATTTTTAAAAAATTTGTTTTGGTACTAGAAATTAGAAGATTGTTATTACAGTGTCAATATTTTTACTGATACTTTTTGGACATTTATTCCTTTACAGCAATCCATAACTTTTTATATGACAAAATAGTTGTAACTATTTAAATTATGAACATTTTAACAGCGACTACTACGAACTATAAAAAAATCTTGCAACTAAATATTAATACTTAACAGTGGTAGCGCAAATTCATAAGACACAAAGGATTCGTGGTTTGAACCCCACCTCTGAGCAAGTTTGGCGATATCGGTTAGGAAGAAAACGTGAACTTCCTATTAAATGCTCTTCCGCGGTGCTCTGTGATAAGACCGTAAGGAATTCTTGGGACACCTAAACAAAATTAAAATAATAAAAAAAAACCTTCTCCTTAGAAAAACCTTCGAGGGTATGATAGTACAAGTATGTAGTAGTACATTAGTTGGTTTTGAAATCTTTTCTCATTGTCCGTGAAAGAAAAATCGATTTCAAACCCCACCTTTTGATTTTTTGGCCTATCGGCAAGATTATTTGTTAGTCCTTACTAACAAAGATAAGCCACTTGTTTAAGTAAAAGTTTCTGGAAAAGGCCTGCAAATAGTTTTATCGTACCATTTGAGCAAAATGGAGGGCAAAACTATTTAAAATGCCGAATCAAGGAAAAACTCACGATGACACCAGAAAAACTGTTTGTTTTATCTGTTTGAAAATAGTTAACAGGCAACAGATTAAATTTGTGCTTAACGCTGTCAAGAAGTTTTTGGTCAAGCTACTTTGAAAATCAAAAAGTCCCTACTGGTATTGCAAAAACTGTTAAGTAGGCCTTAAAAAAAGAGAGTAAAGATGTTCAACTTTCTTCATTAACTACCAAAACATAAAAATTCGTCCTTCAACAAGAAAATCACCATGTGGTTGCATGATTTGTTATGTGGGTAAAGCCAATTTTATAAACCCTCAACCGATTGTAACATCCAACACAACCAGTCAGCAGAAAGAACAGTCAGTTGTTGAGAAACGTTGTTCAGCATGTTTTTCACTAATTGAAAGAAGGATTCCCCATAGTTGTTTAATATGTACAATGTTGTACAATTTTTGAACAGAACTTGCTTGAAGATGCAGCAAAAGACACAAAAGCAGCAGAAAGAGTAGCTGCATCTGTAATCCAAAAGTCTTAGCCAAAAATCGAAACGCCTATTGGTGTACTGCAAAGATTTTAAAACTCTAAGAAACCCTTTAGTTTAGATTAGAGGTTCTAATTCAAATGAACTTATCAAGGTGGGAAATGATTGAGGAAGGGGTTCCCAAAAATGTCTCTAGGGGTTTTTGACTAAGAACCAAATACTTCTCCTCCGACTAATAAACCCCTCTTCAAGGACTTAGTAGTGAAGAATCCGCTTCTAGTGGGTATTGCAAAAAAACACTCTGAAAATTATGACAATGTAAAGAAGATTATGGGTTCGGTTTGTTAAAATCCGATTTTAACAAACCAGACCGTATTTTTGGTTTTGCTCACCTTAGTTAAGTTACTCTCATTACAAAACTTTTTAAATATTCTTTCTCAATACATTTATTCCATTTAATTTGATATTGCAAAATTGCATTTAATTTTTTTTGTCTTTAATTTCTCCGAGAACGCCCCTCATTTTTGAAAATCAAAAGGCACTGTTTTTCAAATGCTATGGGTGCACTATGTGATCAATAAAAACAAAATTCAACTCATTTGGGAAATATTTAGACCCCGCTCAACAGGCTCAAAGATTACATTTTCACTATAAAAATTTGCATTTCGACAGGTTAAACACCGTTGACAAATTAAAATAAAGCAATAATCTTTTTTATCTGGTTTTGTAAAGGTTTATAATCATTTTAAGCCAAAAGATCAAAATATAAGTGTTTTTTTTATTAATGTTTGAATAAAGTCTCTAATATATAAAATAATCTCTCAACTGTCTTATAGAGAGCGAGTTATGCATTATTTATTTTGTATACAATTTAAAAATAAAATAATAAAATTTGCTGTATAGACTCAGTGATACAGTTACAGCAGAATAACGTTAACTCGGATCCTGAATATGTCAGAATTTTACTAAGCCGGACAGATTTTCAACTCCCCTTGAACTTTCTATACATGCAAAGAGCTTTGCTTGAGTAGAACATTCGTTAAGTCAGACTATCAATTCTCTTTGAGAATCCGACTTAACGGAACTCTACTGTATATGCAAATTTCTCCCATGTCAGTTTTAAATTTATAACTAAGAGGGTGTTCTTTTTTTATTACTGGGCATTATACTACCTAAATTATACTGCGTGTAATTCTAGGAGCTTTAACAACAATTAATTAAATCTCTTCGGTATAATCACTTACATAAATTTCTTTAAATAAATGCATATAATAAGAATTGTATTACTTTATTCTAAGACTTTTGTTGAGATGTGCCATGATGTTTTCTATTTATAGACGATGCCAACAAAACATGAATTACATGACACACCACCCAATTATACGCAGTTTAATTAATATATTGATGCGCTACTACTAAGATTGAACTTCTTTTCCTTAGTTTTTTTAGTATAGAAATAACACCGATGAGTTTAAAAAATTTAAACCCTCCAAGGTTACATTTACAATAGGTAAATTTGCATGTAACTATATACAGTGGCAAATTTTTGGTGCCCGCGGTTATTTATTTTGAAGATATTTTTATGTGCTACACCGTAAAAATGATTTACAAAAAAGTATACAATGAGTATAGAATGTAAATATTGCAGAATGGGTTTTCAATGGATTTTTAAAGCATTTTACTTTGAATTTTTGTTTATTTTAGTAAAATTAGATGTGAAAAAAACACTATTACTGATTTTTGGAAGAAATATTATATTAAACTTTTATGTTTTGCTCCAATGAGTTCCAGAACTCAATTGCATAGCTTAACGTTTGAAGATCTTTTTTAGAAATTATATTTCTTAACACAATAATTTTTACTTTTTTTTTGTTTTGGATTAAGCTCTCTAGATTGAGTTCATTCCGATTGCATAGACCTATGACATCATCTAGAAAATCTATGACATCATCTAGAAAACCTATGACATCATCTAGAAAACCTATGACATCATCTAGAAAAGGGTGCTTAGCGGTTTGGTTTTTAAACTGCGAATTTACAATACCAGAGGATGTTTTATTACTCAATATGCGAATAAATAAGTTTAACTTGTTTTGCTGTACAATTGTTGATATATCTTAGATGTAAAACAAATAATGAATATAATTTTTTCTGTGTTTGGAAACATTGATGAGCGACTTAAGTGCATTCCTCCCTATAATATCAATTTGTTTTTTTCCAGTTAACAAGAACTCGGTCTTATTAGCATTCAACTTAATACAATTTGCGTTAGTGTATATATTACAAGCTGCAGTAAGCTTTTTTATTCCAGACAGGGTAGAACTAAGAAGAATGATGT